GGGGGGGGGGGGGGGGGGGGGGGGGGGGGGGGGGGGGGGGGGGGGGGGGGGGGGGGGGGGGGGGGGGGGGGGGGGGGGGGGGGGGGGGGGGGGGGGTTGATTTCATGTTTTGCATGCCTTCGCGGGTAGACCACGAGCCCTCGAGAGGACGAAGCCACTCATGTTTTACATACCGTTGTGGTGGGAACATTGACCTTGGGCGAAAGTACCCAACAGCACCATGACTTAGTGTTCAACGACACGCGTTTGCTTGAGCGCCTGCTTCGGTGTGGTGTTTTTTCGCCCCCTCGCAAAGCAGTGTGCGAAGGAGGAGAGGGGACGAGATGTGTAGTGTTGACCGCGGTAGCTTGTCTACCGCAGGCCACCCAGCGACCGCTATGTGCAGCGGTAGAGATCGCAGGCAACAGATTGGGATGCATCGACATGACGAAAAACAAGAGCCAAAGGGCTACTTGCCAACGGAGTTCACGTGCACAGGCATGCTAAAGAAGGGCCACGAAAGAGAACGCCCGGAGGAGGGGTTTGGTGCACAACCGCGTACAATTTCTTCCCCGGTCCGGTTAAACCAGGCGTGCTCCGTCCCGGCTTGGCAGGGACGCGAGACCAATGGTCTAACGACTACGGCATGATTGGCAATAAGTACCCCGGTGATTGGTGATGGTCCTGTGGGAACAATTCTCCGTCCTCTCGAGAGGACGCGTGGTCAATGGTCTAACCGCTAAGGCATGCAAAACGTTGGAGTACGTCCCCCCCCAGTCCGGTCGATGCCTCTTTCTTTGGGCCGAATCCTACCCCGGTCGGCGCGCTGTTCAGCTCACCACTGAAATGGCGAAACTTCTGTCCTCTCGAGAAGCCACCAGCACGAAACCGTTATCGCAGCCCCGTTTCCCCACCCTCCAGCCATCCTGCACGCCTCGTGCAAACCCCTCCGCCGTCACCTCTTCGCCTCCACCAACTACACCGCCCCCCTTGTTAAGAACGTTGATCCCGACTCCTCCTCCCCCTGCCCCTCCTCTCGGGGGAGACGCGAGCATGCGCGATACGACCGCCACCCCGCCCTCGATGTCCCCCAGTTGCTGCTGCTGTTCGTCTCCTTCGACGGCCTTACCACATGGGGTCTGCAGACTGGAGATGCTTTCCAGCTCCTCCTCCGCTCTGAGAAAGAGGCGGGTTTAGTCGTGGCGCGAGCAGCACCAGCAGAAGTACGCTGGGCGAATCAAAACACAGGCGGGAGACAGGTATCTATCTCCTTTGCGCAAGGACTCGACCTGGAGCTGTGCCTATCTTTACAGCATAGAGGAATATTTTTTCAGTCGGAGAGACCGGACAAGAAAATACCTACTTCCTCGGCACAAACTTCGTGACTACAAGCGGGAAATCGGGTGCATCGCGGCTGTTGTGCTACCGCCGCCCACCCTCCACGCTCTCAAACCCACAAGTTTCAGCAGCACCAAGTTGTTGCCATATCATCTTTTACTCGATGGTATGTATATGCTAAGCCCGGGAGGCGCAAACGACACAAGCGCCTCTCGAGGAAACTACCACCACGAGCGGAAACACGCCAGGTACAAAGGCGAAACACGCCAGATGCATACCGTCTATTACACAAGATAACACACCCCCTGGACCAGTTTTCAAAGCTCGACTACTCCACGACGAAGAGGATGAACAAACGAAACGATACATTTTCGGAAAGCTCTCGACGAGATGGTTTCAACGCCGCCGTTTTCGGCGCTGTAACTGTTCCTGCAGTTGAGAAATCGAGCTTCGAAAATCGGTCAAGGGGGTGTGTTATCTTGTGTCATATACGGTACACGCCAGACGCAAAGGCGAAACACGCCAGCTACATGGACGAGACCCGCCAGATACATGGACCAGACACACCAAACACATGTGCGAAACACGCCAGATACATAAAGCAAAGCGGACGAACAGCAAGGATGATGCTTGTTGGCTGGCCTCCGCGCCCCAGATGCATTCTCGAAACACGCCAGATATACGATAGGCGAAAGAAGCCAGATACAAAATAGGCGAAACCAGCCAGATACATCAGCGAACCGGATGAAAGAAACGGGTGATGCCTGCTGGCTCGCCTCCGCGCTTTTCGCGCCAGATGCATTGGCCAAACATGCCAGATACAGAGGCGAAACCATGCATATACATGATGGGCGAAACGCGCCAGATTACATGAGCGAAGCGGACGAAAAAATGATAAGAATCTCTGTTGGCTTGCCTCTGTGCCCCGGCTATCGTCAGCAGGCCATCCGGATCGCACAGGTAGGACCCGTCGCGTAGCCTCTCTCTCGGATGGCCGCAGCCCACGGGGTCAAGCGTCGGAGACGGCAACAGGTCTACCGACCAGCCGGTGCTGCTGCTAACGGTGGCGCTTGTAGTCCCGCCGCCCTCATGATCTGGTGGAATTGTCCCGTAGGTCCGGTAGGCACAGAACCGTTGTTATCTTGTCGCGAGGCAGCGAAGGCAGGGAGCGGGCCACCCTCTCTCTCAAGGAGAAGGAAACTTGATTTGAAAGTGATGGTGAGTGACGGGACGCATACCTGCTTCTCGAAGAGCTGTTAAAAACTACCGCCCAATAGTGGGCATCAGTCTTTTATGGCAAACTGCCCTCCCTGAGCATTTCATCACATGGACGTTGACCCCTACACGCGGCTATAAGTTCGTACGACACGTGAGTGGCGAGGAATCATGCGTGTCTTGCATGTGCCCCTACCTTCCTCATTCACACAATGGGACGACCACAACAAACAAACCTGACAAGGTACGAGTGATCGCACATACCCTAGCCCGGCTTTCAACCCTCGATCTCTCCAAGACCACCCACGCATATGTACCCATTTCGGCATTGACGTCCTCTTACATGTGGAGCAGTCAAGCTACAGTACTGCTGGATGACAACCTGTCGAGTGGTGAACTGACTGCCGCGGGGATGACTCAAACTTGTTATGCATATGCAAAACAGCATTTAAACGACACGACACCCAGGTAACCAACTACTTCTAGACAGCAGTATACGCGTAGCTCAGTCGAGGAGACCAGCGAGTACGAATTCTGTTGGTCTCTCTTTGGGCTTAGTAGAAAACCCAATCTCTTTCTCTTTCTCTCTCTGGCATCGCTCTTCAAGATGATCTGACGGCGACATCTCTGAGAGCCACCACAAATTCTCAATGAGCAAATTTGGAGAGATGTACCTACAGCAGCAGCACCGTCGAGGGTATGGATGATATGACAAGTGGCACTACGATGCGCCAGCTGCAGCGTGCCACTACACCTTTTGTTGGAGCAAGAGGTATGCGTCGGAATGTGAAATTAGGCACGGGATGAGGAGTAGAAACAACGACAGCCACATGGGCCTGGTGATCGTGATCAACGTAGAGGGCGGGGGGGTTGGTTGGTGCTACAGACTCCAAACGAGAGAGTGAATCGACCGCACTCCGTGACCCTGCTCTAGTTGGAGCCTCCTTGCTGTTGCGATACGCGTGTAAGTGGAAAGAGTTCGCATATTGTAGCAGTCGAGGTATTGTGTTGAAGGTCGTCCGCTCTGGGCGAAGTCATCAACACAAGCCTGTTCTACATGCATAGTGTGCAGGGGCTGCTCTATTTTACATGTGTTGAGTGCGTGCACTTTGTTGGAGCGCCAACAGCAGCAGCGTTGACGACAGCCGAACCTCTCTTGGTTTGAAACATCGAGTACGTGTCATCTGTCAGCTGCCGATTGTGAGCGTGAAGCAAAATGGGATCCTGTACATTATTCTTGAGATGAAAGGTCACCTCCACCTGCAAACTAATCCGACACCCAAGGCGAGATAGTGGCCATGGTGGAGCCGCTCAGGGTGAATAAATGTGTCATGTAAACATCGCTGTTGTGCTGTACACTGCTGCTGTACAGCAGAGCAGGGCAGCTTAACTGCTCTTGACTGATGTAAATTAGGTCGCGGCGAAACAAACCAATGAGACATACCTCCTTGGTGACCAACCGCTACAGCGGACGACGCCAGCAGCAGCACTCCAACCGAATACAGGGCTATAACACGGCAGCAGTCTTGTCGGCCTACGGCCATTATCCACTGCTCTCTCTCTCTCTGCGTCGTCGTCGAGCTCTGGAGTTCGCAGAGCATCTACAAAAGCGCTGAGCAGCCCAGCAGGTTCCTCTTGACACCCTTCACGATTCCACGGAGCCCCAGGATTTGGCCGTTGACCGAATTGCATCGGCTAGACACCCGGAGGTACACCAGAACGCTGGCTTCCGCTCTTGCGTGTGGATGAGAGAGCAACTAGAGAGGCAGACGCACGTTCGGGAGGGTTCAAGGAAGAGATCCTCTCAGATCCGCGGCCTTGCCCTCCTCTCTACTTGAGAAAAGATACGGGGAGGAACAAGCTGACGAAAAAAAAGCGGGAGAAAAGGACCTACTGCCCCGGAGGAGGTGAACAACACCGATGAGCGCGCTGGACGTGAGAAATGGGAGGGTGGATATCGAGGTGCCAACGGACGAGGACGCGAAGCATTGCGCTCGCGTGTTGAAGGATCAGCACTCCAGCCTGAAGTCCATCGATCTCAGGAGGGGTCTCGTCACGAGCGCGGGGGCCGGCGCTCTCGCCAAGGCGCTCAAAGGTTGGTGAAGAGCGCATGTTTGGCGGGTTGGGGAGCCGGCCTTGGCTAGATCGGATGGTGTGTACACAGAGGGTCGACAGGATGCGCGGGTGGCGTGATTATATCTGGGTTCCTTCTAGTGCTGTAGCAGCCCCCAGGCGGCCTACTTGACTCGCCGTTCGTCTCTCACGCTCCGAACAGCCATGATCTTGGGAAGATTGATTTCCCCTCTCTGTCTGTCGCATCAAGGAGGAAACTGAACTCACCGAGCGAAACAATCCAATTTCACGCGGGATCGAGGGATGCGAACAGCAACGGTCGATAGGTTGTCATCAAAACGACCTCCTTTCATTCGTTGCCGTCCCTTTTGCTGATAATCCTTGAGGATCCTCGGGCTACAGCATGTTGAACAATGCTCGCCGTGAAAAGAAACAAACGAACGCAATGTACATGGGCTTCTGTTCTGTACCATATACCAGGTGCAGCAAGATGGTACCGTAGACTAGACTATAATAGTCTACTCTAGAGACTATCCGTCCCCTGCATGTAGGCAACCGCGTCGTAGCAGTTTCGACGACATATACAAAACTAGTCTCCAGGGCAGCATAAGCATATCCTCCCGTGCTGCCTCCCTACAGCTGTAGCAGGGCAGAAGTACAAGAGAGGCGGGCGTTGGCAGCAAGCAGCATCAAGTATCCGGAGGTGACTCAAAGGACCGCGGCCCACCCACACCCGTGTTCACCTCCCCAGACGTCCCACGACCCCCACCAGTTTACATACCACGACATAGAATCGACCTCAGGATTGGTGATCCACACACAACCGCATAACTTTGCCGGGCAGCCCCTCCAGTTTCTCTTAAAAAGTAGACCATGTGTATCCGCGCGGCCTTGCTCTCGCAGGTCACCTATCTCGGCCGTCATGACTAAGGCCGCCCTCAAGCCACCATGTATCTACATCGTTTGACCACCATCTACCACCAAAATTTCTTGTAAATCCAACGGAGGTCGGCTTGGGCGGGGGTATCCCGTCAGCATCGGCTTGCATGCAAGGCGAGGTGTATCAGACGAAAGCGGACAAAATAGCACGAGTGGTTAACTGGCCCTTTTTCTTTCGAAACCGCACCGGCCAGTGATGTGATACTACGGAGCGCCCGGAACGATGACGTGGCCCCGTATATACGCCAGCGCTGGCGACACTTCAACAGCAGTTTTTGGGTTATGGTTGGATATAGACACGAACCCAAGGCCACTAGCAGATTTCCAGCCCTCAGGCTACATCACCTGGCTAGGCCTCGCTAGGCCTAACTCACCCCTAAACCCAGCCTTAAAACCACACCCCAAGCCACAAATAAAAAAAAAGATTGTTGTGCCGTGGGTAAGGTCGCTGCACCGAGCAACAGGAGCGTGCGCCTCGCGCTCGCCAGCCCTGGCCTATAAACGCCTCGCGCGACGCAGCAGCGTGCATGTATGTACCGCACCCGGCCGCCGCCGCCGTTGCCGTTGTGTACGGTACATGTAGTCCATATCTGTTCTCACCGTGTTGTGGTCTGTCAGTTGGATTCGAGGTACGATGGGAAACGCAACGTGCATTTCTCGTCATACGCTGGAATGTGCCCCGTTACCAGCACACCCCCGATTCTATTTCCCGGTGCTGCTTGCTTACCTTGCTGCTATGTATGCAAAACTCTACATGTATCTCTCTTGATCCGCTGAAAATCGAAAAAAAAATAGCCCGCCACCAGCACGCCTCCGATTCTTGTGCATGTGTCCGGTTCCTGCTTGCTGTGTGCATCTTTCATGATCCGCTGAAATCGGAAATATAAATATACACGGCCACCAGCGCGCCTCCGAATCCTATACACATATTCTACGTTCCCACGTCCCGTGCTTGTTGCTGTCCCTGCAATATGTGAAACTCTATTTTGCATGTATCTCTCGGTATCCGCTGAAATCGCAATATACACCGCACCACCTTCGATTCCTGTACACGTGCCCTTGTTTTACTCAGGTAACTCAAGTCTGCGACACCTGGGCCTGCCGGGCAACAGCATCGGAGACGTCGGTGTTGGTGCCGTAGGGCGGGCGTTGGAAGGAAACCTTGGGTGCGCCCTGGCGTCCGTAGACCTGTCTGCTACAGGCATCACGGTGGTGGGGCTGTCTAACCTCGTGCAAGGGGTGTCCAGGCTGCCGAACCTGCACACGGTCTGCCTGAACGACAACAACCTTGCGCAAGAGGGTGAGCTTCTCCTTCTTCCTTTTTTCTGTCCTGGTTTTCTTTATTCGAGAATGACGCATGCGAGACCCGGCCGTGCGAGATGTAGACTTGCTGGCTGTTCCGCGGAGGGAGCCGGGGCTGCGCCGAGGGGGACATGGTCGGTCAGCCAGCGCCCTACGGCTCCCGTTGTATAAGCAGCAGCAGCAGCAGCAGCAGCAGCAGCAGCAGCAGACGCCGAAGCTATTTAGTAGGGTGGCGGTGCTTATTGAGGTGCACCGCTCTCGGCGTCGAACTTTCCGAACCAATCCGCCTGCAGAAATAACATTTGTTGTTGCGGCAGCATGCCCGGCCGTAGGCAGCGTGTCGACAAATATCCGGCGGGAGGCAAGTGAGGTATAGCTGCTGTGCAAACGAGCGAATATCAACCGTTATTTACGCTGTGTTTGTGTCCCTTGTGTGTCCTTTCCTCCGCGCCATTGGTACAACGGGGCAACAGCCGGGCATCAGCTGTCGAACCTCCTCAAGGCAAGCACGTCGCTGCACACGGTGCTGGCCAGCGGGAACTATCTGGGGGACCGGGGGCTGGCGGCGCTGTGCGGGGCTTTCTGCTACCTCAAGCCGGCCAGGGTGCTCAGCCTGGACGTCAGCGGGAATGGTACGCAGAAAAAAACGGCAATCTGCCGCACTGCTGCTTTCTTTTCAACGGCTGTCTCACATTTTTTTTGCACCTTTGGCCTTCTGTAATGGAGGTGGTCCACTCGTGAGACACGAGCACGTTAATCTGAATAAACAGGGGAGACTCTCCCGTTGTGGGTGGCGACAATTTGCACGATGTGTTGGAGCCGAATGTGGTCCGTAAAACCTATATCCAGTCATCCGTGTTACTTGGAACACGGAACATGTCGGACGGGTGGCCGTCGACAGCAAATGCGTGCTCCGTTGGCGTTGTTCTGTGTGGCAGACTACAGGTTGCTTTACGTTGCCTCCCACAGCAGTATCGGCTACGATTTATGAGAGTAAACAGTACGGATTTAAGGGAGTCAACATCGCTTGTTCCAGCCACGAGATGAGACATAATGCATATGTTCCAAGTACGGCGGTATACAATAAAACCGGGTTCAAGACAGCAGTGCATTTGGCTTGTCCCGATCCTCTCTTAGAGCTGTAACCGCCACTGCATCGTCTGCCCTACCATCTCACCCTGTGAGAATGCGTCCGCTTCTGTGAATCGCCTCGGGCGGTAAATCCTGCTGCTTCCACGGCGTGTGTGTGGAGGCATGCGCGTGTATGCGCGGATACACGAGGAAGACACCCGAAGTGTTTCCAAAAGCAACACTCGTGTCGAGCATTTTTTTTTTCACCTTGAGAAACGAACCACGTTAACCCTGTAAACAAGAGGGTTATTGGCCTTGCCGTATTTTTTGTGGTGGCAACTGCTGCTGTTTACCGTACGTTGTGCCCATACTCTCCCGCCTTCCTTATCCTGACTCTCTAGCCTCCCAGCCAGCGTACAACAAAACGACATGTTTCAGCACGACAATTGTGTTGCTCACACTCTCGGTGTTGACTCACTTGTGCGTGAGCTTAATACGACCCCCGCCGCCTCCCAGGTATCGGAGACCTCGGCGCCCAGTGGCTCTGCAAGGGCATCTCCGCCCTGTGCCGCAACCAACAAGACACGGCCGGCGGCGGCAGCGGCAGCGGCAGCGGCATCCGCGACCTGCGCCTCCGAGGCAACAACATCACCCACACTGGTGCGAAAGAGCTCGCCACCATTCTCTCCGAGGACCGTTGCGCGCGCGACCTGCGCGAGCTCGACCTGTCGATGAACACGATCACCGCGGACGGCTTCCGCCCCCTCGCCGTCTCGCTCCGCGGGTGCCGGGAGCTCGTCCGGCTGGACGTGGCCGGCTGCCGACTCGGCCCCGGAGGTGTGGATGCTGTCGCCGACCTCATCGCCGCCTCGGGGCCGAAGCTCACCGCCGTTATCCTGACGCCCAAGGCGGAGTTCGCGGACAGAGTGCTGGGGGACCGGGGGGGGCTCGCGGTTGCGCTGCGGCAGTCCCTCCAGCGGCTGGCGGACTCGCTCCCGTTCGCCGGGAGCGTGGTGGAGGTAGGGCTCGGCGCCTTCCTCCGTGCGGACCCCGCCGCCGCGGCCAGCATCGAGGAGACCTTGCGCGAGCGCCGGGAGCAGCAGAAGCAGCAGCAGCAGCAGCAGCAGCAGCAGCAGCAAGCGCGGGAAGCACAATCGTCGGAGCGCAGCGCGAGAGAGGGGAGCAAACGAGGCACTGCTGCTGCGGTGGCGGCGGCGGGGCCTTCGAGATCGACCGAGAAATCGCGGGCGGCCAATAGGACCGGCGGCGGCGGGGGGGGAGGCCGGAAGAGGGCCGAAGGGCCGCAGGCGTCGCCTGCCGCGGAGGGGCGGCGGGCTGGAGGGGGCACTGCCCCGCGCTCCGGCGGCGGCGGCGGCGGGATTCCGACTACCCCGAAGACGTCTAACCGGTCCAACAACAACCCCAGGGGCCGCTCGCGTCAGCAGCAGGGCGTCGGCAAGAGCGGGGCGCGCGCGACGGGAATCGAGCGGCCGAAAGCTGGAGTGGAGCGGCAGAAGGCGGCGGGCGGAACGGCGGAGCGGCAGCGGAGAGGGGCGGGGGGTCCGCGACCTTCTCCGCCGTCTGAAAGAGGTGTTGGAACAAGCGCGTCGTCCTCGGGACCCGGTGGCCTTCAACGGACGTCGAGCAAGGCGTCCATGCGAGGAGGCGGGGGACCCGTGGGAAAATCTGAAACCGGACAACCGAGACAGCCGGTGGTGGCGGGTCAGCATTACAAGACGACGACGGCGACGCTTGCCGCTCGCGACCGCGCCGCCGCCGATGCCCGCGCCGCCCCCCACAGGCGCTTGCACCAGGGGGAAGAGCTGGACTCGATCGAAGGGTTCACGGAGCCACGGCAAGCTCCGAAGTCGATGCCGCCTACCCGGGAGTTGCTGGCGAGCCAGGCGGCCGCGGCGGTATTAGCGGCCGGTGGTGGTGGCAACACGGGCTTTTTCAGTGACGGCGGCGGCGGGGGTAAGAAGGCGGCGGAGCCAGGGTCCTTGACAGGCTTGGAGGCCGCCGCCAGCGGGGGTGTCGTAGAATCGATTGCGGATGTGGTGTCCAAGGTGATGGGGGACACTGCGGCCGTGGCGGACGGTCTTGTAACGCCTCCTCCCGTCGCGCCTTCGACATGGGATTGGGACAATGATAGTGGTGGTCCTGCTGGATCTACGGCGGCGGGGAAGAAAGAGGAGAACGATGCCGATGACTCTCCTTCTACTACCGCCAGCGGTGCTTCTACGATGGTTCCGTCTTCGGTTGGGCCGGTGTCGACGGGGCAGCAAGGAGGCGGGGCCAAGGCGGTGGCACTGTCGCGGAAATCGTCGGCCGCGAGCTTCTCTACAGCACCCGAGTCGAGCTGTGAGTGTGGCGTGAGAACGTGGGCGAATAAATTCCGGGTTGTGCCGAGCGTGAACTAGTCGCCACGAAACTGTTCGACTAGCCGCTCCCAGTTCATGCATCTCCCGAGATGCCGCTGCGTGCTCGCGGCCCGTGATTTGGACGACTCTTGTAGTTGATGTATTTTTCTCCAAATAATTCTTCTACGTACCCTCTCTGTTCCAGCGCCAACATGCCGCCGAATTCGATATGTTCGATCGAAAAGTCGCGGCGTGACTTGATTTCTTCCCAGTGTTTCGATAGGAGTGTGGAAGAATTGCATTTGTTTTCTGTCACGATACCATCCATATGTAGCACCGGTGCTCGTATGAATGAATGGACTTGGCTGACTGGCCGCATTTGCGCTCTTCTCGATGCCGACCTTACGAATCCGTGCGAACCTTTAGCGGAGCCAGAGGTGGCGGCGGGGATGACGTCTCTAGCGATGAGCGACGGCCGCAGGTCAGGCTCGAAGTCGAGCCCTCAGGGAACTACGGCGATTGAAGTCAGGTATGTATGTTTTGTGCGTTTGTTTTGTTTGCCGGGTTGTCTGCTGTGGCAGCGGCGTATCTGCGCCGCCCAGGTCGTGGTGTCTCGCTTGTTGGAAGCCCATCCCGTCGACGTACGTGCATGCTTATTTGCGGCGAAACCGTTTCTCCGTGTTTCAGCTGAAATCGAGTGGTAGGCGTTGTCTCTTTCGAGCGAGCGGCAAACGTTGGCGCATGTGGTTGTCTTGACGATGCGGCTACAGAAAAAAACAGCATGTGTACTGCTGTGTGGGAGTCGTGCATGGCCGCGCAAATGCCTCGTGTGCCTGGGAAACCCCTCCGAGCGGCTTCGTCAAATACTGTTTAGACACTGGCGTATACCGATATAGCTTTGTCTAGCCGCAGGTAGGTAGGTGCCTTGTCGCGTGACTCTCTCGCACGTACGGGGCCCCTTTTGTTCTTGGGGCCTTGGGGCATCCAGATGAGAGCTTGAACTGACGTCTGCTACCGAATCAACGGCTTGGGGTTAGAGAGCGAGAGAGAGAGAGAGAGAGAGAGAGAGAGAGAGAGAGAGAGAGAGAGAGA